TAAGGAAGGGACGCCTGCCCTCCTTGAGGGAATGCACAGTGTTGTCATGACAACTTCTGCCCTGGATGATGTGTTTGCTCCTGGACCAGGACTGCAGCCAGAGCTGGGAAGAAGGACACAGCGGAATCACCGCAAGAGGTCTCTGGGGTCAGGCAGTGTGTGGCCCACGGGCAAGGTCTCCCTGCAGACACAGAGGGTTGGGTCCAGCTACCATCTTGTGCTGGGCAAACCCCAGTTCCTGAAAAACAAGGGTGAGAGTGTGCACTCTTCTTGCTACCTGCCTGCAACCTTCCACTCCTGCACCTGGAGGGTAACAGGTTGTGTCCCAAACGTGTTTATAGGAATTAGGTGTTGATGAAAAACCTGCAATGAGATTACAATGCTGGGAAAAGGGTACAGCTATGATTATAATTAACGTAGAAAGGTGACTACAGTCAACTCCATGGTGCTCCTGATAGCCGAACTCCAGGACACTCCACACCCTCCATGCTTCCTGCTTAGAGAGGACACACAGACTGGCGGGATGAAGATGTTACCCTCAGACCCCCAATAGTGCCTGCGGCTTCATCGATTAGGATACAGTCTTACGTTTTAAAGTGGAAAACCATTTCACAAATCACCATTCACTGCAGTTAATAAGATGAAAAAGTCAATACTATCAAATGATACCCCTTCTGAAATGGAAGTGACCTCAGCAGCTCTTTTAAAGAGGGAACTGGAGCTGAGCACTGGGAAGGGGCTGAGAGAAGAAACAACAGCGTGCTCGCTGCCAGGCTGAATTCCCGCCTCAGAAGGCCGGCTCCTCGGGGGGCTGCGCTTTCTAATTCTAAGTTCAATGAGTTCAGACTCTTGATGGTTTTAAGCCAAAGGGAACGCTGTTATTCTCTCCACCCCAAAAAACACATTCTTAACATACAACACAACAGTTTTCGAAGTTTCCTTAACCTGCAAGTTCTCTGATGTGATATGTCTCTGGGATAAAAACACAGGGCACCTTGTCCGTGTTACCTCCACTTGTAGCTGTTTTGTATATTTTTACTGATTAAAAATGTACAAGATTACTTCTGAATCATAAATACATAATATGTTTAAAATGTATATATAGAATAATTCATCTATTGTATTTAGGAAATTATGTATTGTATGCAAATTAGTGTCCTTAATAGGATTAAGCCAAAAGGTATGCTTATTAGTGGTCAGAATTTTTCAGTGTAACACATAATACACACATTTTATTTATTATATCTTATTTTATGTATATTCTGTTTTCTTTTTTTTTTAACTTTTCCCCCTATTTTCATTGGACTGCTCAAGTTTCTATTCTATTTCTTTCCTTTCTGCCTTTATTAAGTTGGGAATTTTACTTTGCTTTCTGATTCTGCTTATAGATAGCTCCCTGTTCCTAACACACTCAAATAAACTTAAAATACTCTCTATAGAAAATCATATTCTACCATTAAAATCGTTTATTTACCCCTCCTGACTTCCCCTGGCAAGATAAAAGTCTCTAAAGTCACATTTATTCCCCAACTCTCCCTAAAATCCACATGCCTCTCCCAAAATTCCTATGAAGTTTTAACCACCTTATTCTATCCCCCCTTACTGTCTCAGAATATCATTTCAAGGAAGACAGACAAGCTGTAGCTATATACCCTGAGCCTCAGATGAATTCCATGGCAACGGGGCCCTTGGTGAGATGATCTTGATTGGGGGAGCTAAGAAAAGGGCCATTTTGGGCCAGCTAAGTGGCTCAGTTGGTTAAGAGCTCACTCAAGAGTGTGAGCTCTGAGCAACAGCGGTTCGAGTCCTGGCCCGCGCTGAGCTGCAGCTGAAGGATGGCTCAGCTAAAAAAATAAAAGGAAAGAGCCATTTTTCCATCTGGAAATTAAAGTGAATGGCCACAAAGATATGTCCGTGCCCACAAGCACATGCACGGTGTGTTCACGTGTGTGCAAGATTTGAGGTGCAACAGGAATGTGACGTGAGAAATCTGGGATCAGCCCTCCAAACTTCCCTTGGCTCCAAAGGGACAGTTCAGACTCCAAAAGTAGGTGCTGAAGCACCAGCTCTGGAGTCGGGTCCTGGCCACCACACTGCTGACTGAGGCCAACTAATCTGCATGGAGAAAGCCCGTGCACTCACTGACAGGAAGCAAAGTGGATGTGGGTACAGGCCAGGGATGCCCAGCCCTAAGGAGCAGAGGTGGGAAGAAGGAAAGAGATGGGAAAGCTTTTTCAATACTAATGCACTGAATTGGAATTCATTTACCTGAAAGTACCTCAAGTAGATTGCTACATGTGGCAAGATGAGGCTTATAGACAAAAATTGGTTATGTCTACCTTAACCAAGTATTCCAACTGATCACCAGGAATGATACAAACAAATATGTTTTTTGATGGGATACACTATATGACTGATACTATTCTTGCCAAAAAGATCTAACAGGAACTATTCACAAGGAAGCAATCAGTCCTGATTATACCTGTTGTCTCAGCATAATTAAATGAGCTTACTTGGTTTTGTGTGGGAGTTAGGCGTATCCATATGTAAAAATCCACAGAGCTATGTGCTTAAGATGTGTATATTTTACTATATGCAAGTATATATTACTTTTTTAAGTGCTGTGGTTTGAATGATAAAATATAGTTCTAGTCAAAAGGATGTTTTGGAATAATTGGGGAAATTTAAATATAAAGTGGTATTAGATGATACACATGTTAAATGTCTTGGTTGTAATAACGATATTGTGGTTATATACGTGTGTGTGTGTGTGTGTGTGTGTATGGTCTCCAGTGTTGTTTTATTATGATTATTATTATATAAGTACCTATATTTATACACACACAAACACACAGAATATACAGAAATAATATTGCATTTAACAATTGATTGGTTAATGAGGTACAGAACATACAGGTGTTATACCAGCTTTTATGTTAGAAATTTTTTAAATAAAGGCTTTAAGTTTAAAATTAAAAAAGAAACACTTAGGGGTCGAAATGAGAAGAAACATCAACATTTATAATAGCATCAAAAAACAGGAAATACTTAGGGGAAAACCTTAACAAAATATTTGCAAGATTTATATACTGAAGTGTAAAACACTGACAATAGAAAATAAAGAAGATACAACTAAATGGAGAGATAAAGTGTATTCATGAGTCAGAAAATTCAATATTATTAAGAGGTCAATTCTCCCTAAATTAATCTAGGATTCAAAAGAATCCTAATCCAAATCTAAGCAAGCATTTTTGTAGTAATTTACAAAACGAATTACCTGATTTCAAGACTTACTATAAAGATAAAAAAATCAAAGGTGTGGTTATTAGCATAGTGATAGACAAATAGATCAATGGAACAGAATAGAGAGCCAGAAATAGTTGTGTGTGTGTGTGTGTGTGTGTGTATAGTAAGTCGATTTTCAACAAAGGTGCAAAGGAAATTAACAATAGGCATTAAAAAGAAATAGGTATGGTATTGGACACTCACATGCAAAAAAAAAAAAAGCTTTACATTGCATCATATACAAAAATTAACTCAAAATGGATCACAGATCCATATGTAAAAGCTAAAACTATAAAACTTCTAGGACAAAACAGTAAAAGATTTTTAGGTAGGGTACAAAAAGCACAAATCATTAAAGAAGAAATTGATTTAAAAAAGTATGTCATCAAAATTAAAACTTTTTGCTGTTTGAAAGACCCAGTTAAGACAATGAAAAGATAAGCCACAGACAAGGAGAAAATATTTGCAAGATGCATATCTGATAAAGGACTGTGTAATATAGAAATAATCCTTACACTTCAACAATATGAGAACAAACACAATTTTTTTAATACGCAAAAGATTTGAACAGAATACTTCACCAAAGATATACATATGTTAAGATAGTCAATATCATAAGTCATTAGGAAAATGTACTGAAAGCCACAATGGGATATCATCATGCTTCTACCAGAGAGTGTAATTAATAACTAAAAATTAATTAATAAAAGCCTGACATCAACTACTAGCAAGGGGTCAGAGCAACTGAAACTCTCATAATTGCTGGTGGAAATGCAAAATGCTACAGCCAATTTGGAAAAGTTTGACGGATTCTTATAACATTAAACATACAGTTACCATACAACTCAGTATTTACCCCAGAGAAAAGAAAACAAATAGTCAAACAAAAACCTATAAATTATATATCAGCTTGCATATATTCAAGTGTATATGTCAGGTTTACTCATAATCTCTATAACGGGAAACAACTCATTATAACAGAAATGCCCAGCACCCAATGAATGTTTAAACAAATTGTGGTGTATCCAAACAATGAAATACTACTTAGCAATAAAAAAGGTACGGAAGTACTGAAATGCCAACAACATGATGAATCTCAAAAGCATTATGCTAAATGACAGAAACCAGGCGCAAAAATGTATATATGGTATGACTCCATTTATGTGACATTCACACACACACACACACACACACACACACACACACATACGCGCGCGCGCAAAGATCTCATCAATCTCTGCATCCAAAGAACCCAGCACGTTGGAAAATGATAAATGCAGTCGATGGACGGAGGGGAGATTACTGCAGGTAGGGCAGAGTGCAAAAAGGCGATAGGCTGATGCTAAAGCAAAAAGGCACCTGGGGCCCAAATCCACCTAGAGAACATCAAAAGGAAAGCGTGATCCCGCCTACCTCCACTGATTCCAGCTGTTAAAAAAACTAAACCCCGTAAAGGACCACAACGTGAATGAGCAGGCTCAGCGTTTCCCTGGCCTGAAGAAAGGCATGATGCGTCCCACCCTTTTAAAAAAATCTTATTACCCCACGCACGAGGCTGAGCAAGAGGACCCTTACACCTGGAAGCGAGGTTTTTCCGTGCACAGGAGCGGAGCTGGAGAGACCGAGGCGGGCCCGGCTCGGCTTCCGGGGTGCAGGACCCCGGGCATCGCCGCAGCCCCGCCTGTCTGCATCCCTGCCCGCTCTGCCTCACTTACCCAGGCCTGCCGTTCCAACTGAGCGTACAAATTGGAGCCCTTGAGCTTTTGGACTATCTGAGCAATAACGAGAGACAGATCCGACTCCTCCTGCAACATTTCCTCTGCCCTAGCCCGCCAAGCAGCGGGGACAGGCCGCCGGCGCGAAAAGAACGAGCTACGGGGTCCCACTTAGGGCCAGTGACACTTCGCCGGGACCTTATTACGCTGGGACTCCTCCAGCGGGGCGTTACCAGGCAACTGCCGGGCTTTGTGTTCGTTCCTCTCTGGTCCCCCCCGCGCCTGAAGGTCCCAGCACCTGCGTTCCGTTTGCAGAAAACGACCCGCTAAGGAGTAGCTTTTCATTGCATTGTTCCTGCTTAGTCTGTGATTTAAAGGCAAGAAGGCTCTTTCCTCCGAAACCACAACGCCTCCGATGTACGAGGGGAACTCAGAGAGCTGTTTATTTTTGTGTTTTATTATAAAGGATCATTCATCGTCCACCTTTCAACCTCTGCAGAAACAGGGCTATGCACACAATGACATGGCAAATTACTTGAAAGAATTATCAGGTCTGCCACCAGCTGTGTGAGCTTGGGCCAGGTTCTTAAATTTCAGAATTCAGTTTCTGCCTCTGTAAAATAATACCCAGTGCATAAGATGTTGCGATGATTAGCTGATGTAATAATTATGAAGGTGCCTGGCACTGTCCTTAGCACCCCATTTTATTTCCATTTTTCCTGTTCCTAGTCTCTGTGGTCTTATGCCAGGAATAAACAGACAAGGACTTCTCATCTAACAACTTACCCAGGAAGCATTTATTGATATGTTTTCTGGGACTCATTGGCAATTCAAGGATGACTGAGACATTGTCCCAGTCTTCAAGAAATGTACCATCTAGATTCCTCTTCTTCCATATATTCATTCATTCAATCAGTTTTCATTCAAAATTTCATACAAAATTCCTCCAGCTTTCAACTTATTGAGTATTTACAAACAAGAAGCTGTATTTACATACAAAGGTAAATACAACATGGTTCTTGCCTTCAGGGAAACATATCAAAGATTCTTAGGAGAGCTAGAAGTATCTGATTTAACTAATTGAATGACATTCCCAAAGGCAGCTAGAAAAAGGCTTATGAAATAATATACACATTAGAATAGCCTTGCCAAAATCATCAAGGACTTATTTCAAGTGTGTGTTTGCATATATGTTAAGCAAAGCAAAGGTAGGATTCCAAGAGAACAGATCAAGATTGCTGCAAAAACTTTAGCCTAACTCTTGTTCATTAAACTTTAATGTGCTTAGAGATCAGAAGGTTCCACTAGTGAGACCTTCTAATCTGCATTTTCGGAAACTCCCAGGATATTATGATGCTGTTGGTCCAAGGACTACCTTCTGAATAGCAGAAGACAAGAGCAGGTAAACAATAGAAATTCAAAGGTACTGGACTCCTGGCATCTATGTACAACACCCTGACATTCATAACACCACTGTTCAGAATATTCAGATTCCAAAAAACATATTAATATTTGGCCAGGTTTGTTTATTAAAACAACTTTGGGAAGAGGCAGGTGGGGAAAAAAAAGTACTTGAAGACAATTGACAGATTCTACAAAACGTGTAGTTTCTCCACAAAACATGTGGCTTCTCTATAAAACATGCTCCCACAACTCAGAATTTCTCAAACTTGCAGATAAGCAAATCTCCTCAACTCTTTAATTTTTTTTTTTTTTTTTTAGCTGAGCCATCCTGCCACCTGTGGGCAGCTCAGCCGCAGCTCAGCCGCAGCTCAGCTCAGACCAGGCATCGCACTGCTGTTGCTCAGAGCTCAAACTCTTGAGCAAGCTCTTAACCAACTGAGCCACTTGGCCAGCCCTTCCTCAACTCTTTATCATCTCTCCATCCCAACACCCAACTCATTCATGAATCTCCCAGCACAAGCCTTACTTTGAACCAGGAAACAAAACTATGGGGACAGTTCTTTTGAGATTGAAAGGGGTGATGTGATTAATAGCTAAAGAGGTAAGGATGGTTGTGTTGAGAGGGTTAAAAATCACAGAGGGAAAAGAAGATAAAAGTGTGGAACAGAAGAAAAGGCATGATGCCTGGAATCAGAAAACAGCCTTGCTCCCCTCCTGCTGTGTACCCTTGGGACTGCATGAATCCCTTCCCCCGTCAGAGTTTCAGCTTTCTAATCTGTAACAAGAGGGCAAATTACCCACCTGAGGAGGTGTTTTGAAGAACAAATGTACCTACCACTAAAATACCAGTAAATATGAATAAATTAAATATTAAAATTTAGATAAGTAAATAAAAATAGTGCCCTGTACTATTGACAAGGGAATGAATGGAATGTAACAAAATAAATATAGCAAAATACATGGAGGTACCCAAGTGCCCAGCACAATTCTTTGCACAGGTAGAAGCTTTAAATTTTTTTTTAAGGGGAAAACAATTTGTAGACTTAAAGCAACAACTAAAAAGTCTGATTTGATTCTGAAGGCATGCTCAAGCAAAAAAAAAAAATCTTAGTCCTAACATAAAAAGGTTTTCTTACATAGATGAAGCAGGTGTGTTGAAGTATAACTCAATTCTAAAATGCCTTTTGTTCTCTTTTTCCAATTCAATTTAGCAGAACTCTTCAGAACAACTGCTCTGTTCTAGGAATGGCAAGGAATACAAAGATGAGTAAGAAATGGTCCCTTCTTTCAAGGAATTCGCAGTCCTAAAGGCATGGTGAGACCAGTACACAAAGAGCTGTAATGGTAGACAGGCCCCTTTAGCCTCCCACCTGTGCATCTGGAAATTATTTACTTTGAAGTCATTGTTGCATAAGAAACAGAAGACGTAGATTCCCATATCCATCCCACAAGGGGGAACTTTACTTTGGAAACCCTTACTCTACCCAGAATAGGTGGCAATTGAGAAAACATTCTATTTCTGACATTTTAGAGTGAACCATGACCCAGTCTAAGAGAGGAATAGCAATCTCATCTGAGTAGTTAAAACTGTATAAAAAGGGACAAAAATAAGATAGAGGCAGAGAGAAGTCTCCTCAAAATTCCCTCAAATTCAGAGCACAGGCGCTCCTGGGCCACCCTGTGTAAGGCTCTGGGCTCAGCCCTGCCTTTCTCAGACCTACTCTGCTTTGATGTATTAACAGATTTCATTGTGGGAGAGGGGGTAGAAGGATACATTTGCAAACCACTGACCTCACATGAGCGAGGATGTAGACAACATCAAAATCGCCCTGCCAGACTAACAGAAAACTGAGGCATACTTTAGGGTACGCTGGAACATGTTATTACTTTATTCACAGAACGTGACTCACTTAAACTCTACAATCTACAAGGAAAAGTATTTCCAGCTGTTGTTTAAAAGGAGACACTGCTCTTAGCAGGCTGTGCCTGTAGAATAGATTGAGCTGTGTGCTGTCAGGAGTTGACTTAAAATCAATAAAAAGTATTATGTGTGTTGTATCATGAATGTCACAGACCTCACTGCCTTTGCGAACAAATGAGCTCATTGTGATGTCAATTAAGTGTTGCTGGATAGTTAGCTCTCACGTCCTGGAATGAAACCTCGGGCTCCTCTTCAAAGTCTTCTCCTGTGACTTCTGGGAGTCTTCAGGAAGTGGCACATGTGTGCTTAGGAAAAAGGCTGCTTGTGATGTGCTCTGCCTGCCTCAGTGCTGTCTGATGCCCCAAAGCCACTGTCCAGGGTGCTGCTTCTTGGTGTTCCCACAACTGCAAAACACCAGATGTGCTTAAAAGGTTTACAAAAGCCTTCCTGAAAAAAAGCCTCTTCTGATTCTACTTGCCACTTCTCTTTGCAAAGGTGGTCAATGCCTTGCTCCTGAGTCCAGGCTGAGCATCGAAACATGCTCTCCTCCACTTTCCCCTCTTTCATGCCTCTGGCCCCAGGCAATGAAATGTGAACCTAACCTAAGTCTAGTGCTTCATATGGTACCAAGAAGGCTGCAGGTACTTAAGTTCTGGTCAAAGGAAAGAATGGCCATTTAAAATTTTCTTCAGATGGGACTGCTTTGCTGAAGGCTTGCTGCTTTAAGCCCAAACTTTCAGCCCAGTAGTCTTCCAAACTTTATACGATGTAATATGTCAATAACACTCTTTTAAAGTGTATCAAGGGCTGGCCAAGAGGCTCAGTTGGTTAAGAGCTCACTCAAGAGTGTGAGCTCTGAGCAACAGCGGTTTGAGTCCCAGCCAGAGCTGAGCAGCCGCTGAGCTGCCAACAGGTGGCAGGATGGCTCAGCTAATAAAAAAATAAATAAATAAAGTGTATCAATCTCGTATCTTTGCATAAGAGAAGAAAAATAACAAAAGATCAAGATTCTCCAGAGGAATAGAACCAAAAGGAGAGATCAGATACAGATATAGATATAGATATACAAGTATAGATATAGATAGATTCATTTAAAAAAATTGACTCACATGATTGTGAGGACTGGAGAATCTGAAATCTGTAGGGCAGGTCAGCAGGCTGGAAATTCGCATATTTGACGTTGCAGTTATGAGTCCAAAATCCTTAGGGCAGTAGGCTGGAAATCCAGGCAGGATTTCTAGGTTGTAGTCTTGAAACAGAATTCTTTCTTCACCAGGAAACCCCCATTTTTGCTCTTAAGGTCTTCAGCTGGTTGGATGAGGCCCACCCACATTACAGAGGGCAATCTGCTTTACTGAAAGTCAGCTGATTATAGATGCTAACCATATCTACCAAAGTCCTTCACAGCAACATTTAGGTTAGCGTTTGATCAAACAACCGGGCACTATAATCTAACCAGGTTAACATATAAAATTAACCATCACAAGAGGTATCTGTCTTCTTAATAAAATTCTTTAACAGCCCTTGTCCTAATCACACCTCCCTTCCCAAAGTCCCATTCTGCTTTGACCCCTCTTGTTTCTACAACGTTCTGACTTTCTCTACAGCACTTCAATTCTGAGTTTCTGGTTTATGGGGGTCTTTGGCCCCTTACACTGCTCTATTGGTCTTCTGTTCCTGGTTTGGCCCTGATGGATTAGACTCCACTCTTGGGGTGCCCCTTGGCAGGCATCTAAGTACAGTGGTCCATTGGTGCTGGGTTCTAAACAAGGAGTGATATTCTCTCCACATTCCCAAAACAAAACAAAGTTTAATTCATGGAACTAAACATGACATACATATCAAATAGCACTTCTGATAAGGGAAAAGGAAGGTGGCAAAATCAAACCACAGTCCTTAGGGGACAGGGAAGGAGG